AAAAAAAAGAAAGAAAAGGCAGGGGGGGGGGGGGGGGGGGGCGTACTCTTATGTTTTGCATGCCTTAGCGGTTAGACCATTGACCACGCGTCCTCGAGAGGACGGGGCATTGTTCCCACAGGACCGATCACCGATGGCCAATCGTTCCTTCCTACTTTGCCAAAGGTGGCTCAAAAATGTCTTCCCTAGTTTGTCTATCCTACCGATGTCCCTTCCCGCCTTTTCAAACCACTTTCTACTCCCAGTACCGCTACCGTCCTCTCCTCTCTATTCCATGCCTCAAACATCTCCCTGTATGTCACTTGTATTCTTCCCAGCTCAGTCATGTACACTTCCCTCTCCTTTTCGTACCACGGACATTCCGCGACTACATGAACACTGTCTTCGCATTCGAAGCCGCAATCGCATTTGAACTTATCGTCTTCGTCGTCTACCGTCCTATGTCTTCGTCGACGTTCGCGAAGGCCTATGTCCCCGGTCCTGAATTTGACCTTAAGCTTTGTCCCTGCATCCATTGGTCCATGTAGGTAATCCTTGAACCCTATTCCTTCTTTCAACATTCCGTACACTTCTAGACCCTCCTTATCCTTGGATTCTTTCCTTAGATTCTGTTCTTCTCTGTCGGCACAAGCAACAGATATCTTCTTCTTGAACCCCTGTAGACCCTCCGTTTCCAGCGTTTCATCTTCGTCGATGTCCAATCCCTTCCATACGTCCTCTACAACCTTGACCCATTCCGTGGGTTGTCTACCCCTCTTTATGTTTGCCCACTTCGCCTCCCATACTATTCTCGGCAACCTCTCCTCTCCCACCCCGCACATGCGATACTGCCATGTCAGCTTCCTTACGTCTCTTCCCGACCGTAGGGATTGGATCCCCAATTCTGCCCTGACTGCTGCATTACTTGTGCGCTTGGAGCATCCTAGGATGATTTTCGCTGCTTTCATCTGCGCCGCCTCGAGTTCTTTCACTACCTTCTTATTTCCTTCCCATACTTCTCCGGCGTACTCTAGCGGCGGTACGATTACGCTCTTCAACACCGTCAATTTGATGCGTGTATCAAGGTGCCGGTTTGCGAGTATTGGGTGCAGCTTCCCTGCTCGTGCTTTGCCCTTTTCCGCTACCTTGGACATGTGTGCATTCCACGAGCAATCTTTTGCGATCTCTACTCCGAGGTATGTGTACTGGTCCACTACTGCAATCTCCTCGATCCCCCACTTCCATCTATGTTCTACTGGTTCCTCCCTGCCCTCGTTGCATACCATGACGGCACTCTTCGTAACGTTGGCAGACAATCTCCACTTATCAGTAAACTTCTTCGCCGCGTCAATTTGCAGTTGCAGTCCCTCAGGGGTATCCGACATACCAACAAAATCATCCGCAAACAGCATTCCTGACACCAACGTTTCCGTGTCCCCTACTTTTACTCCCTTCCGGACTGCCTCTACGACTTCCAACAGATCGTTGATGAACACCTGGAACAATGTTGGGGACAGCGTGCAACCTTGTGGGACCCCTTGCTCAATGTCGAAGAATTTAGAAAGTTCTCCGTCTAGCATGACCGCGCTTTTCGTACACTCTGTCATCTTCTTCAGCACTCTCCACATTTTCCCCTTGATCCCGTACTTGGATAATTGTTTCCACAGCCCATTTCTCCATACGGTATCGTATGCCTTTTTCACGTCCAGGAAGAAGCAGTACGTCCGCTTTCCCGCCCTCTTTTTACCTTGGATGATTCTCCCTACCGTGAATGCGTGGTCTACGCACCCCCTCTTCTGTCGGAAACCTGCCTGGCCCTCACTAGTGCTACGTTTCTTCTCCAATACTCCCACTATCCTATCGTTCAGCAGCTTACAAAACACTTTTCCTACTGTGTTCAACAGTGTGATACCCCTGTAGTTTCCTGGGTCAGTCTTG